ACATGTCTATATGTGCATTAATGAGGGGTTGTTATTGTGCATTAAATTTAGTACCTGTAATATGAGGTATTAACTAAATGTGCAGTAAACTGTGTCACTGAACAGTAACACTGGCACCTGGTCTTTTCATGATGCTTAATGCTCAGTAGACTAATTCTACTGTACATTAGTGCATTAGCACAGCTTTTTCCATGATGTGCTAATGTGCAATAAAATTAGTCTACTGAGCATTGCCTCGTGTAGATGCACTCTTGAGAAAATATTTTTTTAAAAGTGCAGTACACGCAATCAGAATCAGATTTTCATGAGCTGAGTTCTCTACAAGTTTCTAAATAATTTCCTAGGTAATATCGTAAACATCACTGATAAAACTCCCCTTGACTTAAATGGAGCTGGAATTTGATGTGCACGCTGATGATTTCTGTGGAGGTCATGGACTTCACATGTGAAATTTGTCATTTTGAAAATTTTGATAATTTGTTAATATAAAAATTATTTTGCAATCAGAGAATTTTGAAAAATTGCAATTCAGAAACATGGAAACATTTCATTTTCATGTGTTTTATTTTTAAAATCAATCTTTCTTAATCTAAATGGTTTTGTTTTGTCTTTGACATTCATTGTTGCCCCTTTCGCTGCTGCATTTGAAGCACTCTTCTTGGGGGTGTACTTCAAATGCATCATGGTCCCTTTCTCTTCTCTGAGTTGGGTTCTCCACCACCATTTCCCATGATGCACTGTGGTCACATGGCTTTCATTATGTGCTATAATGTGTTCAACCACAGTGGAGATTGCACTGCATCAGTGGAGATACAGTCCAGCCACTAAACCCAGCCCATAAAGGAGAAAAGGGACACCAGATACTGAACCAACAACTTTTATGAGGTGTGGTAGCAACTTGGGAAACACAGATTAATATGGAACTGATCTGAAATGATTTGATAAGGGATGACATATACCAACATTAGTATTTCATTTTTCATTTCCCAAATGGTGAATGGAAAGATTTACACACAATCTAGATTCCCCCACCAAAAATTTGGCCTTTGTGGCAATTGCCTTTACTACTGAAAAATATTTTGCTACAGAATTTCCGACCAGGTCTAAACACCCCAGCATGTTCTCATTCACTTAATTGAGGACTACCTTTACATTCCATATTCTTTTGTCATAGTCTTCTAGATACTTTACCGTGGGGCTTTGGCAAAGGTTAACTAAAATGTTTTGTTTCCTAAATGATTTAAGTCCTGACCTTAGAAATCCTTAGACGATGTCCAAATTATACATGTTGTGTAACTTAGTCACTGTGCTTGTTTATAACACAGTTGTCCCCTGAGACAATTACAACACAGTTGCAATTTCTAGTTTCAAAGGAAGTTCAGCTCTATTCCCTAAGGTGTCATTTATAGTACAAAGTTCAACTGTTTTGTAACTGGCTCTGGGAACAATAATATTGTAATTGGAGTCACACAGTTGTAATGTGAATATTCATATGAATAGTTCCAGTGACTTCAAAGGAATTATAGGCATCAGAAATAAATATTGCCTGAGTCAGGAAAGATTTGCAGGATGGGGTAATCTGGGTTAAATCCCTGACTGCTTATTTTACTCATAGGTTTAAAGCCCATTGAAATCAGTGGCACTACTTTCATGAGGAAAATTAGTAACTGAAACAAAGTTAGCCTGATGTGCAACTTGATCAAAATCCATGCAGTTGTCAGATACAAATCAAACCCTGTGCATTTACTGCACTCAGAATAATTATTTTTTTCCTATTTATTATTTTCCCCATCATTTAGTCCATTCATTAGCTGCCACGAGCTGATTGAAACAGATTACAGAGCAAAACAGTGTCAAAAGCTACTTCTTATTACAAGAAGTTTGGTTCTGATTCAAATGAGAAAAAGTTATTCTGCCCTGCATTTGGCATTTTTACATTCTGACATGGTTTACACTGTCATCCCAAGCTCATGGCAATAAAAATGTTATATCACAAATACAGTAATGTATTCTGTATGTTGGTAAATCCAGTGGTTATTTTTTAAATTCAAAACTCATGAAAAACTTTAACTTGTTAATGTAAACTAAAAGCAAAGGAAGGGAATCACAAGATCTTCAGGAGTTAAAAGCAAGCTGTGTTTGGAAAAATATGAGTCATAGAGAAACTATAACAGTCAGGAATTGTCTGTTATGATATTTGCCCCTGATGCTTCTCTCCAGTTCAGTTCCATGTTAAATTTTCCTTTGTTGTCTAATCTTTGGTGAAGCAACCCTAATATCAGTCTGCAGTCGGACCACATGCAATAATTTTGGCTGCTGTCTAAGAGAAATGGCAGCCAAGAATATTAGGTTTTTACCATCTATTCTCCTCAGTGACTCTCTGAAGGAAGCAGGAACCCTTTTGACATTCCCATTGTTACAGGGGAGGTTTGAGAGAAAGTACACATGCAGAAGGGTTGCGGTGCTTTTGTCAATAATGCCACAAAATTTTCTAGAGATGGAAATCTCCAAAATTTATTAAGTAAAAAAAATCATTTATCTTTTGCTGTTATGTCATAGAGTAGTGTTCAAAACTATAGCGAGTTAATAAACTTATCAGAATATGGCAACTTTTATAGAATTTCTTCATGGAGGATTTTTGCTGTGTCTGTTGCTCAGAAAACCCCTATCCTCTAGGGGTTGTATTGGTTGATACATCAAACTGCTCATTGGAATACGATATATTACTTAGCTAATGGGTGTATCTAATTTATAGTAATTTTTTTTAATGCAGCCAGTTGTAAATACTTGAGATCAGAATATGAGACCCTTGCTCGCTGGAGTAGCACCTTCCTCACTGAGCTTAGTAAGGTAAGGGGTATTCATCCTTAACAACAGAATCAAGATATGTCCTTTTTTATCGAAGAACTTATGGCTGTTTTTTGGACCCCTTACTTACAGTGAGGTCCCTGACAGACATTACACTTAAAAAATGATTAAGTGGTTAATCACATCTTAAGTAGTAACCTGGCTACATGTTCAGTCAATTAGTGGCTTGATAAAACAAGGAATAAGCCATAAAAGTATTACATATATGTGTAATAATTTTGTGGCTAGTTCCTATTGGACCTTTAATTGAATGTGTGGCCAGTGCTCAACCTCTGGAGCACACGGGAGCCTATCAAGACTTCCATGTGCTTCAGAGGCTGGGAGCACCCCTAAGTTGATCAGGGTCCCCAGGTGGAGAGCGTATCATGTGCTCCCATGGCTGAGAGCTCCAATAAGCTGACTGGGACTTCCAGCCAGGGGAGTACAGGGAGTCCAGCTTGCTACCTGCTGGTGCAGGGGGAGCCCAGTGCTGGAAAGCTTCCCCTGCTCCATGTGTGGCATAGTAGGAAGTGCAATTGATGGGATCCTGTATCAGATCCCATCATGCCTTTCCTTTAATGTCTGCCAGGGGCCTGAGTAATACACAAAATAGACCTAGGAGTTCACCAGAGCTACTAACATAAGCACTATCTAATACAGAGTTGTACAGTTAGGACCGGAGGTGTAGCAGGATACAGGAGGCAGCACTGGGCTGCCATGGTGCCAGCTGTGGTGGTACAGTCAGCTGTTGCTGCAGTGGCAGCTATTTTTTCACCCCTCTCTCTGCCCCTCCCTCCCCCTCATTAAAGGCAGTTCATGTGGTTGGTGCCCCAGTTACATCCACCCAGGTATGCTACTGGGTTAGCACTTCAGATATCCTGCTCCAGGCCTTTCTGAAGTCACTGGAAAGAG